CGCACGAGTTCAGTCAGTAAGGGCTTCCTCCCAAAGTGGGCGAGTCCTGCAAGGAGCTCCATGGGGTACGGAAGAGGGCGTGGCTAGGGCTTCCCAGACCCAGTGGCCCTCGATTCCAGAAGGAAAACTAGGAGTCTGCTGGCAGCCCAGCGATGACAGGGCTGCTCAGGCACAGGCACGGGTGCACGCAAGACCTGGGGTGTAGAAGGCCTGGCAAGCCCAGGGAGTTACAAGTGAGTCTTTTTGGCCGGAGCACAAGAGGTGAGGAGGAAGAACGCTGGGAAATGAGGATCAGAGAGGTGAAGCAGCCCTTTCAAGAGCCCCACAGCAAACTTCTGGTCTAGCTGGGATTGGAACCCAGGCTCCTGCCTGGGTTGGGGTTTGCAGAGATCATGAGGCTCAGTGGGTGGGTGTGGGGAAGGGGGTCGCTGTGCAGGTGGCAGGAGGCAGAAGGCATCAGATGCGGGGAAGGGAATGGGGTGTGGCCGGTTCTCCTGTGCTCCTGTTGACCTCTGGCCTGGGCGCACCACCCTGCTCTCAGAGATGTTTGATGAGGCCCTGTAGTGCCAGGCAACATGCCAGTCTGCTCTGGTCATCTATTATCTGCATGGACTGGCGACTGACCCAGTGCCCCAATCCAGCTGGGCTTGTGCAGCTGCTGACCCATTGACCTCTGCTGAAGTTCAAGGCTGACTCGGATGCCTGGGCCTACCAAGGCCAGAGTCCCAGTTAGTCCCAGTTAGTGCAGTCCTGGAGGGTGCATTCAGCAGGAAAGAGCACTGTGCCAGGCAGGGTCAGGACCTGGTTCTGGGTCTAGCCGTCATTACCACGCGCGGAACTTGGTCCAGCCACAAACCATCTTTTTGTTTGTAAAATAGGAAGGTTGGGCCACATGACCTCTAGGGTGTTGCCACCTCTAACCTGGCCATTGGTTCTTAAGCTGTGGCATGCACCAGAGTCACCAGGAGGGCTGGATCCAACCAGGGGGCTGGCCCCAAGCCCAGAGCTTCGCACGCAGTGGGCCTGGGCCGGGACTGAGATGTTGCATTTCTAACAAGTCCCGGCTGCTGCGATGCCGGGTCTAGGGGCCACACTTTGAGAAGCACGTTAGACTCACTCTAGGGAACGCTTGTCACTGTGAGGCCAGACGCCAGAGCACTGCAATCAGTACCTCCCAGCGGGAGCCTAGACTTTGCCATTTCTCAAAAGCTCCCTAGGTGATTCTAACACGCTGCCCAGGTTTGGAATCACCATTCTGGAAAAGCAGCCAGGCGTGTAACAGGGAGTTGGACAGATGCCTCTTCTCCTCAGCCTCTCATTGGCTGCCTGGCTTTGAACAGCCTCCCTGAGCCTCAGTTTCCCCTTCTGCAAGTGAGGCTCCTAGGGGGACTAAATAAAACCCTGCCTGGCTGTGCCCACCCTCCCCTCGCTGTGTCTCCAAGGAGAGCTTGTGCATTTCTTCCGCTCTGAGGCTTTTCAGCTGAGCACAATGCAATAAGCATTTATTAAAAACTTGCAATGTACAAGATGCTGCCCTTAACGATGCGGGGTACAGAGATGAATCAGGCTCGGTCCCCGCTCCAAGGCGCTCACGTGCCGATGGGGGTGAGGAGGCATGTGTCCAAACCACGAGGCAGGGTTTTACAGAAGCAAGCATGACAAAGGCCACCGCATGAGACACTTTACAGTTCCCTTCAGTCCTCCCAACAACCCCACGAGGCAGCTACCATTGTAACACCCACTTTATAGGCAAAGAGAAACTGAGGCTCAAAGAGCCAGGCTTTGGTGCCGTGGGCGCGTGGAGGGGGAGGAGATTCACACCATTAGAACTGCTAGGAGAAAAATTTTGTAGGGGGAGGTGTGGACACTATGCTTTGAAAACGTGTAGGAGTTTGCTGGGTCAATATACAGAAAGTGTACCCCACATTAAGGGACAAAGGCCGAAGGAGAGACAGTCGGGGTTCTTTAGGGACCTGGAGGCGGTTTGATTCGGCAGGAATGCGGGCCGGGGGCAGGGCTTGAGAGGGCTCAGATGCTGCTTGGAGGCCTTGTATTAATATGAATTTAGATTTTGTATCTTAAGTAGTGGGGAGCCCTTGAAAATTCTTGAGCAGGGGGTGGCACTTTTAGAAAAAGATTCAAGTGGCCGTGTTATCTAGCAGAGAGGGGCAGCAGGGAGCCCAGTGAGGGAGGAGGCAGCTGCAACCGAGGGTTCAGGTGAGAGGTGCTGACGCAAATGGGGTGCAGGGAGTCGGGGGGGGTGGGAAGTGGGTGCACGTGAGAGGTGCACTGGTGCCACGTGCAGCTTCCTCGGGCAGTGATGTCTTAGGTGCACCTGCTTATTGACTGAGCCATTTCGTCCTGGCGGTGAGGGAGGGGAGGAGCAGAGGCAGGGCCAGGTGGGTCTCTCGGGGCCTCTCAGCTTCTCTCTCGAAGGGGATGTGGTCAGTGGGGCGTGACTCACTCAGGTTGGAGAACTCAGCTGGAGCAGTGCGTAATGGGCTCCTGGGCTGCCTGCCACAGTCCCGCCGTGGGGGAGGGGGAGCTAGCCCAGTGGCCTGAGTCCTCCTGACTCCAGCCCTCCAGGTGAAGCCTGCAGCCCAGCCTGCCTCCTGCTGCCAAGTTCATGGCCAGCTCAAAACTCACAGACTCCGTGCGTCACACTGAGAACAAACACTCCCAGGCTGAAGCCAGTTCCTAGAAGCAAAGTCTGGATATGGAAAGAGCACAGGGCTGGGATCCTGCCACTTGCCACCGGGGGACCTTGGGCATGTCTCTTAGCCCCTCTAGGCCTAGACTGGGGCATCAAACACAATCAAGTAGCGCAGGTACTACACCCTTGCCCTCCACCTGCCCCATCTTCCCTGGAGAATCTCAAGATGGTACAGGGTCAGGCAGTGCAACCACTTTCCATACTCAAAATCCCAGGCCATTTTAGTACTCTGTCATTCTGTGGACCCAGCAGTCTCATACCCATTTTATAGATGACATAATCAAGGCCAAGAGACTTTCCATGACTGGACCAGGGTCAAATATTTGGGTGGTTACAAAGGCAGGACTTGAATGCCAATGTCCCAGCCAATGGAGCTGGACCCCCAGCTTGGCACCCCAGAGCCCCACTGCCTATCATGGGTGGGGAGGCTAGGGCTGGAGGTGGCTCCAGGTTGGCAAGGTCCTGGGAGCAAGCGGCACAGGTGCAGTATTGCATCCCTTGGTTGTATCACACAGTGAGAACATTCTCTTTGAAGTGAGAACATTCTCTTTCAAGCCTCCAGATAACATGAAGAAAGTCTCTGTGGGGTGCTAATGGGCATTTAAACACCTCTCCAAACCTCGCCAATCCCCCTTTTCCACCGATTCTTGGCAGGCCACGGTTACCAGCTAAAATCTAATAACCTTGCTTTGTTTTCATTGTGCTTATTTTAACTCTTACCTTCTATTTATGGCAAGTGATACTGGTTTCCCATTTAAGGCAGTGATATAACGATTCTCTAGAAAAATGTGTTTGAGGGGTGGGGAGAGTGGGCCTTGTATTTAAAGAGAATATTAATAAGTGGCATGTAGCTATGGCACAGTGAGAATGCCCGATGTCTGACCTAGTTCAAGTCCCTAGGCTTTTTATAATTAAATAATTTTTTTTTTTTTTTTAGAGACGGGGTCTCTCTCTGTCGCCCAGGATGGCGGGAGTGCAGTGGCGCTATCATAGCTCACTGCAGCCCGAACTCCTGGTCAAACCCGTCATTTAAAGGCGAGGAGCATGCCGGCCCGAGAGGCAGCACACTGTGGGTCCCGGCCGGGCTCTCTGGGCAGCGACCTCTCGGATTTGCAAGCCGCGAAGACCTCCCTTCCAGCGCGCTAGGCCAAGGTGACTCCCCGTCCCCGCCGGCGACACGTGCGCGGCCCATGTGCCGGTCCGTGGGGTCTTGCGGGCACCGGGACCTGAGACCTCGGGAAGAGGCAGAGCACGGGGCGGGCAGGCTGGACACCTGAGGGGGCACCTGGGGATATCCGCGAAGGAGGAGGGCGCGGGGCCGAGGCGCGCGGGCTGGCGCCCCGCCTGGCGCACGCCTCCGCACCCCGGCCTGCCGAGTGCGCTGGCGGCCGGACCCCGCGGGTCACCTGCGGCCCGGGCGGCCGTGCGTGTGAGTGCGTGCGCAGACGTCAGCCTCCGAGGCCCGTGCCGCCTTCCGGTCCCGGCGCGCGCGCCCGGCGCGTTGGCCGCCCCGCAGCCCGCCCACGCGCCGGCCACGCGGAGCGCAGGCGGCGCGGGCACTGGCGGGCGCGGGCCGGGCGGCGCGGGCGGGGGGGCGGGCCGCGGACCCGCCGCCCATTGGCCGGGGCGCGGCGGGGCGGGGCGCCGGGCGAGGGCGGGCGAGCCGGCCCCGGGAGGGCAGATGCGGGCGCGGGCGGCGGGACGGGCTGCTTGCGACGCGGAGTGGGACGGAGCGGCGCTCGCCCCCGCCAGGCTGAGCCTCTGCCGCAGGGGCTGCCATCGGGAGCCTCGGCCCCGACCACTTTTAGGGGCGACCAGAGACCTCGCCCTGCAGGAGAGAGAGGCGCACTCCGCTGCGAGAGCGCGGAGGAGGGAGGAGCCGGGGCGCTGCAGAAAGTTCTCCTCCTCTGGGGACAGAACAGGTGAAGTGGGAGGAGGAGCCGGGTGAGGGCTAACTTGGAGCTGAGAAACCTTGGGGCGGCGTTCAAGGCTCCCTCCCACACGCGCGCGGAGCTGTGCGCCCTGCTCCTCCTTCAGCTGCTGGCGTCGCCTCGGGGGAGAAAGGAGCCGAACCTCCGGGCGGGGAGAGCTGCAGAGCTGCGGGCAGAGGAGGAGGCCGCGGCCGCCAGCCCCTTGCACCACCCGAGCGAGACCCCTGGGGTGGGCAGAGAAAGTGGCGGAGGCGGCTGGGTCAGGTTAGCCCAAGCGGGACACGCACGCACTCACGCACCCACAGTCACCTCCAAAGGATCCCGGAGTCTCGAGGGGCCCCTCCTTAATCCCCCTATCCGCCCCTACCGCCCAGCCCCGGAGCCCCAGTCAGGGGACCCTCTATCCGACGTCCCCCGGCCTCCGGGCACCTGGCTCAGCAGGAGGCCTCCGGCTCGGGGCAGGGCAGGGCCGGCGGGGGTGAGCCGGACCCTGCCTGCCACCCGAGCCCCGCCGAGCCCTCAGAGCCCACCGATGGGGCACCAGTTCCGCGTGCCTCCTCGCCTGGCCGCGCCCACCCCGGCGCCCCGAGCCACGCAGAGGAAGATCCCGGTGCAGTGACCCGGGAGCCGCCCAAGACTCCGGGAGGCTCAGGGACCGGAGCAGCAGGAGGTTCCCCGCACCTCCAGGCGCTTCCAGGCAGCTCTTCTTGCCGTGCCAGGGGCTCAACCCGCCATTCCCAGGTAGGAGACACCCCAGCAGACCTGGGGAGCTGGGTGAAGTGGGGTGGCCGGAAGGAAAGGGTATAGGTGGGGGGAGGAAGGCCCAGTGATGCTTCACACCACCAGAGAGAGTTAAATTGAGCACCTACTATGTGGCCACTTTATATACTTAGAGAAAATTGAATTCGTTGAGCACCTACTATGTATCAGCCTGGGTGCTAGACCCTTATCCCAAGAAAGAAAGATATATTGAACTGCTAGGTTTGGTGCTAGGAGCTTTGTGTTTAAAAGATCTAGAGTAATAGTGCATTTACATAGGAGGACACTGAGGCTCAAGGAAGAAAAGGCACTTTGCCTTCAACACTCCCACCCCTTCTGGGGCCAGCTGCAGCTGCATTCTTGCGGGGGTGCTGGGCCGGCCGTTGGTGGCCTCCCCAGCCCTGGCAAGGACCTCCCCTGAGGAACGAAGATGAAGGAGGCACTTTCTTATCCCGAGTTCTTGATTGTTTTCTTGGTTGGTGCAAAGTGAGTCTCCTGGATGATTCCTTCCCAGGAAGGGTTTCCTGTACTCAGTCGGCCGGAGGGCCCCCCAGGCACTCTGGGGGCCTCTCTGTGCCTTCTCTTTCCCTGGCCCTGGGGTAGTGACAAAGGATGCCCAGTGCCACATGGGAGGTGGGAGGCTGGCCACCTCGGGGGCCCGCGCTTCCGGCTTCCCCTGGTGTCAGCGGGACAGGGTGGTCTGAGGTTCCCCCGAGACTCCTGCCTGAGCTCCAGGCCTGCCCCACTGGCTGCTGCAGGCAGCCCCACAGCTGCCCAGAAAGTGCCACAAAGAAAGGAGCCCAGCATTTGTTCAGGCTTGCTGTGTGCCGGGCCGGGTCTGTCTCTGCACTTCTCACTGAAGCCTCAGGGCACACAGTGGGTTTGTTTCCACCATACCCATTTAACAGAGGAGCAACCTGAGCCCTGGTAGGTCCACTCATTTGCCCGAGAAAGAAAGATACTGAACTGCGAGGTTTGGTGCCAGCAGCTGGGCTGGTGAGAGGCAGAGCTGGCCTGCCGGAAGCTGGTGCCTGCCGGCTCTGCACCGCTGAGCTGCCAAGGGTGGTGAGGCTGGCCTTGCCAAGCTCTTGGGACTCCCTGGTGTGGGGCTGGAGGCTGGGGAGGCCGGGTGTGCATTGGCGGAGGGGACATCCGTACCCTTGTCCTGTGGTCCCTGCCCATCCGACCCCTCCGTCTTGCAGGCGGGCCCTGGGGGAGCGGCTCAAGGTGACTGGACAGGTGCCCGTGCTGGGAGCTGGCTGGCAGGGAGCCTGCCCCACTGCCTGTGGGGAGAGGGAGGGATGAGACTGTAATGTGCCCCAGGTCATTCCCTGCCTGACGCCAGCTGAGGCCTGGCTGAGTCAGTCACTGTTTAGAGGAGGACTCAGCTTGGGCTGGGGTGGGTTTTCACGGAGGTGAGAGCACAGGCTTTGGAGCCGAACAGCCCAGTTCTAATTGCAGCCCATCAGTCATCTGCTGTGTGAACTGGGGCAGGTGACTTAACCTCTCTGAGCTTCGGGGTCCCAGTCGCCATCAGTCAGGTGGGTTGATGGCAGTCCCCTCCTCACAGGACTGCGGTGCCACCATTGGCATGATGGGTGGCTGCTTGCCGTGGTTACTGTTCCCCCAGGACGCTCTACCTCCTCTTCCCCGGGAGGTTTCTGCCTCCCAGTGGCCCCCAGAGTGGCCCTGTGGCTGGGACAGCAGTCGCAGTACTCGCATCCGGGTCCCTGCGCTGGTGGCCGTCCCTGCTGAGTCTCCACCTGTCTGGGCCTCCAGGGCCAGATGCTGAAGTCCCCAGGGCCTTCACCTCTGTCCGCTCCTCATGGCGTGGGATGGCACGGGGGAGGACTGAGGGCAGAGCCGGGCAGGGGAGGGACGCTGTGCCCACGGCTGCCCGCGGGCCTCCTCTGGGGGAGGGGAGGGAAGAAGGATGCGGGGGCGGGGGGTGGAGCCCACGGAGGCACTGTCACCTGGCGTCCAGGTGTCTCACACAGCCCCACATGGCTGGGGCCATGTGAAAACTCAGTCTTCTCTCAGAAAAAAGCCACTATCTTTTTTCTCCTTGTTCACCCTTCTCGGACTCCCTCCCTCTCCTCGCCTCCTCTCTCTGCCTCTGTTCCCTGCCTCCTCTCTCTGTCTCGACTCCCTGCCTCTCCCTGCCTCCTCTCCCACTCTCAGAGCCCATTCAGCCACCGGCATCAGCTCACCTGTAACAGGAGCTCTGGGCTGGAGGCTGGGACAGGGCAGTGACAGCGACAGACACTGTCCCTGGAGGCTGCCAGCTCCTTCCTCTCCTCGGTCTAGACAGGTGACCACCAGCAGACTCAGGCTCCCTGCAAGGGGGCCGTCACCACGGTGGGGCCTCTTTTCCCCCACCCCCGCTGAAGGCCCACCCTGATGGAGGCCGAGAGGGCTCCCTGGTGGCCTGGCAGCCTGAGTCCACGGCCACCCACAGGTGTGTCCTAGGAAGGGTCCTCCTCAGCACATTCCCCAGGCAAGCCAGGCAGGTCTGAGCTGAGGGGAGGAGGTCCCAGAGGGGGGCTTTGGGTGAGCCCAAAGACAGACCATTTGCTGTTTGATTCATTCATTCATGGATCATTTATTGAGCACCTGCTGTGTACATGGCATGGCAATCCTGTGAGATAAATACAAAAATGGCTTGGCCAGGTGCGGTGGCTCACACCTGTAATCCTAGCACTCTGGGAGGCCAAGGCGGGAGGGTCACTTAAGGTCAGGAGTTCAAAACCAGCCTGAGCAAGAGCGAGACCCCATCTCTACTAAAAATAGAAACAAATTAATTGGCCAACTAAAAATATATAGGAAAAATTAGCCGGGCATGGTGGTGCATGCCTGTAGTCCCAGCCACTCGGGAGGCTGAGGCAGGAGGATCGCTTGAGCCCAGGAGTTTGAGGTTGCTGTGAGCTAGGCTGACGCCACGGCACTCTATCCTGGGCAACAGAGTGAGACTCTGTCTCAAAAAAAAAAAAAAAAAAAAAAAAA